GAGCTCGCGATGGGCGCCCAAGACCGGCCGCAGTGCCACTTCGACATCGAGATCAACCGGGAACCGGGTGAGCCGGGGCCGGCCTCGGGTGGCGGAATGCGCTGCGGGACCGGCCGGGGGTGGGGAGGAGCGGGCGGACGGCCTCCCGCAGCCCCGGCGGTGCGTGTCGCTCGGAGTCCAGCCTGACTGGTTAGCGCTGTGAAGTTGCCGTGGTCACTAGCCGGTCACCCGCCTTCAGTTTTCCTCAAGAGTCTTCGCCCAGGATTTCGTACTTAGGGGACAGAACGGCTCGTATGTCCTGTAGCCCTCAATTGCGTCGTGGATGCGCTGCAGCTGTGTGGTTTTGTTTTAGGAATTCCATAGTGTTCAGCCATTCATTAGTACACATGTATACACATAGACACGCACAGACTTACACATACATGCGTGCACGCGTACACACACGCACACATAAGACATGCATGTATACAGCATCAACATACATACACACGTATAAACACATCTCCCCCCCCCCCCCAGATATGTTGTTTCAGGCGCAGCGTTCTTTTGTTTTTCGAGACAGGGTTTTTCTGTATAGCCCTGCCTGTCCTGGAACTCAGATCCTCCGCCTGCTGCCTCCGGAGCACTAGGGTTTCAAACGTGTGCCACCACGCCCGGCTATGCTCAAGAGTTCTAAACTGCAGAGATTTTAATTGGAAGTGTGTTGTGTGTGCCACATTTTATATTGTGGATTTCTTAGAAGAGCTCGTCCTAGGCTTGCCCTTTGGTACAGTAGTGAGTAAAACAGAGCTCCCGCTCTTACATTTGCATCCTGTTGGAAGAAGATGGGGAGTAAACAGGGTAAAACACGGTCAGTCTAGTGAGGATGGGAAGCTGAGCCTTGTGGCTGTTTGAGAACTGCTTCACAGTGGACAGCAGTTTGCATGGGTTCTGAGACAGTACATGTGTTTTTAAGGGAAAGTAAAGTCCAGTGTGGCTGGAGTAGAGGAAAGAGAATAAGGAGACCCCTGACTCCATGACTGAGGAAGACAATACGGGGTTCTGGATAAAGAAATGAAGTGATTTTAAAGGTTTTGTTTCTCCCATTTGACATTCCAACCTTACTGTTTCTCCAATTCATTCAGCATTTACCAGACTTACTGTGAAGACTTTTTCCACAGATCTTTGTACACCTAAGGTGTGCGCATTCTCAGAAAGCAATAATTAGTTACTTAGGAATATAACTTGCAAGTATTTTCCTAGAATGACCAAATACTTGGCTTTGATCCCCAACACCGCAGATACCAATCTTGAAAAGAAAATACTTAATGTGGCCACACGATCTGTGCTTAGTGTCTATTGTTTCAGAGCTTCTACCTTAGATTTTTTTTTCAAGATAAGGTGTTGGGTTTTTTTGTTTGTTTGTTTTTGTTTTTTGTTTTTTGGTGTGTGTGCAGTTCTGGCTACCCTGGAATTCACTCTCTAGTCCAGGCTGGTCTCGACTTCACAGAGATTGCTTGCCTCTGCTGGGATTAAAGGCATGCACCACCGCTGCCCAGCTTGTTTTTAACTCTTAAAAGGAAGTAAAACCTGTGTTATCTGGAGCATGGATTAACTATTGAAAAAGGATGAAGAATTAAGAATCAGACAGGAATATAGTTGAGTGGGAGAGTGCTCGCCTATCATGTGTAAGGATCCAAGTTCACTTCTGAATTCTTTTGTGTTCACCGATACAGTATCTGATTTACTTTGATAACCAGAGGTGATGCAGAAATCAAGATATACAACATATTGTGTATTTTCAATTACCACCAATACAAATGCAAAACAGATTAACTTTTGAATTATAAAACTTCTGAATGAATGCAAATACAGATTTAACAGGAAAACCTTTACATTGAATAATAGGTTTTCTGTATGAATTCAGTAAGTTGTTCTTGGAATTAATTTTGTAACTGTTCTTTTGTTATTAAGGTTCTTAGTGAAGATTTTAATTTCTGTGATATAGGAGTATTCATTCACATCTGTTACTAACGCAGTATTGGTGGCAGCTTTTAAGAAACTAATGCATTTTTCTAACTTGTTTGATTTGTGTGCATAGGCACTATTTGCCATGATCTTAGTCATAGCGCCTCTTTTACTCCGATTGAAAATATGTTGTTTACTGCTCTACTGGCAGCATGAACCTGGGAGAGTGGGGCCTACAAATGAGGTGGCCTAAAGTCTCATGCAATGGCCAACTTTATTCAGAGCATAGACAGTTTATACTGTGAGGGTTAAGAAGAGTTACATGAGTAAAGTGTGCAATCACAAGGACAAGCCACTCATGACAGAAACATGTTTTTCCATAGAGGCAGATAAGCAAATAATAGCCAGTTGTAATCAGTAATCTAAAGTGAACTCACTCCAATCTGTTACACCTGGGAGGGTCACGAAAGCACATTCCAAGAACAATTCCGTGATTTTGAAGGAACTGAGGTCACAAGACTGTTGTCTTTTTTCCTTTGAGTTTTCTCACAAGCACTTTGACCTGCTGAGACATCTCAGCAGCTCCTCTTTTAGTTATTTTTAAGAATCTGGCCTGGGAGTTTGTAAATTTAAGGCCCTTCTGAGCTACAAATTGAGTTTGAACCTTGAGACCAGCCTGAACAACTTAACGGAGACCGTGTCTCAAAAAGCATAGAGCACACTGGCGGAGTGGCTAGGCTTGAGGGCTAATGAACCAAGGTTTTACTGTTTTTGGTTTTGTGTGTGTGTGTTTATAAAAACTTGAGGGATGAAGTTTACTTTTTATTCCTTGTTTTATCTTTTACTTTTTACTTTTGATACATAGGGCATCAGGCTTGTTGACAAGCGCTCTTCTGCTGAAGCACCTACCCAGCCCCTCCCTTCCCACCTGCTCTGGGCCCTCTTTTTCTTTTTGGTTTGTTTCATGACCAGAGCTTGTGCTTGTCACTGAAAATAAATTACTGAAGCATATTACTTCCTTCCCATAAGAGACCGTGTCTTCAGAATGCCTCCTGTTCCAAGTTCTAAACGCTGGAAGTGTCAAATACTCCCTGTTTTCTATAAAATAATGCAATTCCATTAAGCTGTTGTTGAAAGCTACAGTTTGTTTCACAAATGATCTTACTTCAGGTTAATATTTTGTTGTACAGTGTATAGGATTTGCTCTGTAGTAAACTAACTCAAATTATACTTTCCTCTCTCTCTTTGGTTTTTCGAGACAGTTTCTCTGGCTGTCCTGGAACTAGAGTTTTCACCAGGTTGGCCTCAAATTCACAAAGATTACCCTCCTTTTGCCTCCCAAGTGCTGGGACTAAAGGTGTGCACCACCACTGCCTGGCCAAGCTATACCTCTTTATAGCTAGAAATTACGACAGGCTTTTTTCTGATACTTTGTCCATGTTTCATTCAAAATGGAAGGCTAGACATCTATTTCAATGGTAAAATATTTGCTTAATATGCACTCATACATTAGGAGCCTGATTGGGTTAATGTGCTTATCCTAGTGTGCGTGTGTGTGTGTCTATGTATATATGGGTTTACATCTGGCATTTTACCTGGGTTCCAGGAATTCAACTTTAGAACGTCATACTTGTGACCCAGGTGTTTTGCCTATTGAGCCATCTCCCCATCCCAGCTTGTTTTTGTTTTTTCTCTTTGTAACGCTAGTTGTTCTGGGATTCACTCCGTAGACCAGGCTAGTCTCGAACACAGAGATACTCCTGCCTCTGCCTTCCAAATGCTGGGATAAGGCGTGTGCCTTTACCTCGGAACTGCTTTTTATGATAATACTAAAGCAGGATTTGCACTTTTAGGAAGTTCTCCCTTCACTGACCTGAGAACTAATGAAATGTGTGCTTGGATGTTGTGTCTTAAAGAAATGTCTGAGTTTTGGTTTATGTATGCCAATTAACAAGTGTAACCCATAAACAACAGCTTAGGAATGTTAAAAAGTTCAAAAGAATATGGAGACCAGAATTTGTGAACTGTTTTCCAAGGCACAGTGTGTTTCTTTTTATTGTTGTTTATTGCAGACAGCATTGGTTCTTCTGAGTAACCTTTTCTCTCCTAACTCCCAGGGAGTGGAACATGAGCATTGAGTGTTGAGTGTGGGTACAGTCTAGGTGCTTGGCTCCAAACAGATCAGGGAAGAAAGCTCCACAGACATCGTGGAAGAGCTTTTCTTCTAACTGTGCTGAGCAGAATAGACTCTTAAGGAGGGATATGCCCGTCACTGACTGGGTCAACTGTTAATTACGAGTACTTGGGGCTGGGAGTATATGTAGCTTAACAGTGGAGTGCTTGCTGGGCATCCAGCAGGCCATGGGTTTGAGCTTTAGCCTCACAAAACCAAACAAATATTTTTTAAAATGGGTTATTAGTTCTGTATTAAAGGGTCTAATGTACAAGAAGACTATGTTAAAAAAACACTTCAAATTGTACAGTATATGTGCTAGAACTCTGTGTGTATGGGATTGGTCACTAAAAAACAAAAAGATGTGCTATTATTACGGTACTTCCCAGTAGTTCTTATATGAAATATTTGTATTAGCTTGCTCACTGTTCTTTTTCCCCTCATATATTTTGTTTCAGTTGGTCGAATTATGTTTCAGCTCTTCTCAGACATATGTCCAAAAACGTGTAAAAACTTCCTATGCCTGTGCTCAGGTGAGTGAGGGTTTAGCCTGTTTTCAGTAAAACTCCTGGCTACTTGAGCTGCTTTATGGAAGGGGAACTTTCATAAAAATATAATTGTCTGTGAAGTGAGATTTATAGCCAAAATGTTATTATTGCTTCATATGAAATGAAGAAAACATTTCTTAAGAGGACAGGAGGAAAAAAACCATCTTTAAAATGAGAAGATTCTCTTTCATGTAATATAATCTTTATATGTTAGTTTGTCAAATAATACATCTTCAAAATTAATTTATTTTGGAAAATTTTTATTCAGATTTCAATTCTTAATACATTTAGCACTTCAAATTATAAAACATAATATTGCTTTTCATTATGCCTCATTCCAATGCCCTTGCCAAGCAGAAAAAGCAAGAGATAATGTTAAACATTATAAATAGCAAACTTCATTTTTAAAACTTTGATTTGAACACAAAGAGGCACAACATTTGAGCTAATTTATTTCATTCATCTCCATTCTTATCTCTTACAGCACACAGAATTGTTTCTGGGTCAATTTAAAACATAGATTGATACTGCTTTGTGTTACTTATTTTGATTTGTACATTATGTATGTTTGCTATATACATGGTGTCATCTGTCTAAGCTGTACATCTCTCACGGTGTCAGCACATGGGAGGGATTTGAACACAGCTTAGCTTGTTGGTTATTCCTATGGAATGATGGGTTTATAGCTAAACTTCTTTTTTTTTTCCCCCCAGGGGAGAAAGGCCTTGGGAAAACAACTGGGAAGAAGTTATGTTATAAAGGTTCTACATTCCACCGTGTGGTTAAAAACTTTATGATTCAGGGTGGGGACTTCAGTGAAGGTAGAGCTAAAAGTTGTATTCCTAATAAATCCATTCATCAGTTTGTAAAGAATCTCATTATTGCTTTTAGTTGTGAATATCATGTCACAGAATGATGTGAATATTGTTTCCTCAGTGCTTCAATGTTGGATGAAGAGATGTTACAGATCTAGACTTTGTGAAAAAGTAAAAGACTATGACGTTTTATTTTGTTTATATAATTTATTTTAGTAACATTGTATCTCATAGATTTACCATCCAGTGAACACCATAGTATTGCCCAATTACAGCTGTTCTAGAAATTTTTAGTGTGACTACTGCTTGAAATAAATAGTGATCATTTTCTGATAGTATTTATCATAATATTTTAAAGATTAAATTAATTGCATGTACCTACAATCATGGGTTTTTTGTTTTATGCGCAATCAAAAGACAATTAAAAAGATTTTCTTCAGGATATTGATACCATCAAAAGTAATTTATTGGGCTGGGAATGTAGCTGAATGGTAGAGCACTTGCTTGGTGTGTACCAGACCCTGGTTTCTCTCAAGTACTACAGTAATAATAGAGGTGGATGTGGTGGCATGTACTTGGGAGGTTGAGGCTAGGGTTTTTTGAGTTTAAGGTCACCTTGACCTACAATATTGAGACTGTGTCTTAAATCAAAAGCAAATGGAACTGTCAAGGTACTCAGCAGGTAAAGGCACTTGTGACCACGCCTGGAACCCCTATGGTGGAAGGGGGGAACTGACTCCTGCAGACTGTCCTCTGACACACACATACACACTGTGTGTACACACCCACACTCAGTAGATGTTTTGAAGATACTAATTTTCATGTGTTGAATATTTAAAATTTTCATTATGGCTCATTGTTTTCAGGTAATGGAAAAGGTGGAGAATCAATTTATGGTGGATACTTTAAAGGTAAGGCCTGGTATTTTGTGTTTTTTGTTTCAGTTCTGATGTAAAGCAAGTTTGGTCGCATACTTTAATGAGAAGAGGTTTACTTGTAGTTCACGTTTTGCATGAAACTAATGCTGCATGAAAATACTTTATTTGCATGAGTTTGGGGATAAATTTTATTGTAATATATAACTTTTAATTGACAAGATTAATTAAGGCTAACTTTAAGGTTAAACATGACTTTCAGCATGGAGGTTAGGCAACTATATACATGACAACTCCTATCTTCCTGCCTAAAACTGTCAACATATTCTTTTGTTTATAGAGAATGTGGTCTTTTGCAAAATGAAAAGGTAAGAGAACGAAGCTCAGTAACACAAACTCCACTCTGCTCCCTTGTGCCCTCCTAATAAATCCACGGACAGTCCGGTCAGGTTGTGGCTGGATTTCTGTATTGTTTGAAGACTTGGAAAGATCTGTGATTTCATACGTGCATCTGTGCCTTTGTTCCTTTACAATTGGTTATTAGTTCTACATCAGGGAAAAAAGAACCTAGTTGTGGTTTTTCCACACCTAAACCAAGCAATTTCTTTGAATAAAAGTTGGTATTTTTTCCTTTCTCAAAGGTTTGTATGTTTTCTTTTGTGTACTAGAACTTTATGGTTGTATTTTACTCCTATAGTAGTAACATTTCATAAGTCTAACTATTGCACTTCCCCAAAAAGCCTTAGAAAAGTCAGTTGCAGAGATTTACAGTGGGCTCCAGCATTGCTGGGCGTTAGTGATATCAAAGCTTCAGTGTGTAATGGTCTTTTGTATTTCCTTTGGGGGAAATGGATCACTTCTCTTTTTCAGAAGCCTGTCCCCAAGGTAATTCTTTCTTTAAAGTTTTGTGTTTCTGTTTGTTCTAAAGAAAGATTTGCTTGTATGAATGTAAAAAAAAGAAAAAAAATTGGCTTTAAAGATATTTCTCCCAAATACTTACCAGGCCTGATCCTGCTTAGCTTCTGATATTAGAGACTATCAGGCGCTTCCAGAATGATATAAAACTATCTAGTTTTAAAGATATTTCTACTGAATTAAAGCCATCTCTAAGTGATGATGATGGCAGAATTTTTTTTCCCTTTCTAGCTTGTTCTAATGGCACGTAGCAACTTACACTTAATGTTGTGGACCGCTTAATGTGGCTATTCCCTGTGGCAGATGCTTTTGTATCTTAAAATTGTATTTTACCTTTTAAAATGTTAGATTTATACAACTTTCTTCCTTAGGTGATTTTGTGATCCTTCTGATACTTAATTTAATTTGACATTTCCCTAAAACTTAAATATATGTAACATTTTTGTTCTCATAGACCAGCTTGACTTCAGTAGAAAAATAAATTTTCCATACAAATGCTAAGCATTTAAGGTTAGGCTTATTAAAACTCAACTATGTATAGTTCATATATCAGGCTAATTGGAAACTTGAAGGAAATACATTTTACTATAGATATTTTCCTAAAAACATCCTGACTGATGCTCCCTGAGAGTTAGGAGTTTATGTGTCATTTAGCCAGGTGTGCTCCTGCGGAGGTGACTGTTCTAAGGCTGTTTGTACTGAGTGTTAAACACCTGTTCTTTTCCTCAAGGCTTGAAGTAGTATCTTGTCGGCCTTTTTGTGCTTTTGTTACTTGATTAGTTAATTTTTTTTTCTAAATATTGCCACATATCTTACTGACCAGAAGAGGAATTTCATCCTTTACTTTCAATTTAGTACTTGAACATTACTTTAAAGGCTGCTTGTAATTGGAGACTAACAAATTTGTGTTTTCTTCAAACAGATGAAAACTTTATTCTCAAACATGACAGAGCGTTCCTTTTGTCAATGGCAAATCGAGGGAAACATACCAATGGTTCCCAGTTTTTCATGTGAGTAGGCTTAATGCAGAGATGAGCTTTTCCTACAGAGAAGCGCTGTTCATGAGAAAGATGGGATAGCTAACCTCATTGCACTTCTCAGACTCTGACAGCCTTGGTTTGGCTCTCTGTTTCTGATGTTGCATAGGAACTGATAATGTCTAATGGCTGCTTCAGCACATATCCTGGGTTTGAAGAGAGGAATCTGAAGGTACACACTGTTTCAGGGCACACTGCCACCATGAGGAAAGAACTTGACTGTAACTTCTTCCTCATTTGAAGGCTCAGTTTAGAAACCTAGATTGGAATATGAACTCAAGGTAAACAAGCAAAAATTGTCCATGATGTTGCCTAGCTGGATGTGGTGGTGCACACCGTTAATCCTAGCACTTGGGTGGCACAGGCAGACCGAAACCTGAGTTTAAGGCCAGCCTGGTCTACATAGCAGTTCCAGGACAGCCAGAGCTGTAGAGCTACATAGTGACACGCTGTCTCAAAAAAAAAAAAAAAAAAAGTCTGTGATGGGCGCTAGACACAAGGTAAACCTTCATGTGAGTTTTTGTTTTCTCTCTTACTATGAGCTTGTTTTGAGAGAGGTAACATTTTCTAATTAGGTATAGGAAAATGATTAACTCAACGTTGTCTTGTCATTTTTCCAAAGTTTGTAAATGTTGCTCAACAAACTTTAAATTACTAAATTTTCCTTTTAAAGAGCCACGTGTCTTTTGGGCTGGGTGTGATTCAGGGTTGATGAAACACTTGGCACGTGAGCCGAAGGACCTGGGTTTGGTCCTCAGAGCCCATAGAGGTGGAAGGAGAAAACCAGCTCTGCAAAGCTGTCTTCTGCCTTCACACATGCACCTACACAGACAGATAGACATCAGGCACAATTAGGACATATTTTTTTAAAGAACATATGTTTTTTTTGTTTGTATATGCATGTACAGCTAAAAACTGATTCTCATGTAAAAATTCTGAGTAAAACCTTTGGCATCCTTTTAATTATATTCTTAGCTAAGTGTATTTTTTATTATCTCATCATATAAAATATGAAAGATAATTGTCCAGCATGCAGTTTAATACTTTGATAATAATCTCTATTCTATGTATATTGGAGAAATAACTTGTTCATGGTTTATCACAAGTTTTCTTTTACATCTTTCTGAATGGATAAGTATGAATAGCGCTTCCCTGTCTTTAAAGGAGTCGATTATTCATATAAAAGAACTCATATTTTAAGTTTGTTTGAAAGATTTCCAACATGATCTGAAGAAGTTCAGATAAGGGGCATTCTGTTCCTAAGGATGTCCTAAAAATGGAGAGCTAGCAGGAGGTGGTGGTGCTGGAGTTATGGGGAAGGAAAGCTGAGGCAATCACTGTGTGCCCTGTTTTGACCCCACAGATGGCTAGTTACCCCCTTTTTCACTGGAACACTTTTCCTGTTGGGGGCAGGGACATTGCAAAGTAAGAGGTAGAGTTTCAAAAGCTTTGTAGTAACTCCATGTCAAAGCAGTTTGCTCTAAGGCCTCATTGTTTCCATTTTTAAGCTTATCTGAACTATGAACATGAAAAACTAATGATTCATTGGTCAGGAACGTGCCATCTGAGGGCTCTAAAGTTTCTTTTTTATATCATTACGTTTAAAATGTGCTTTATCAGGTAGTAGCAGTTTCTTGCCTTTATTATATATAGTCTGCTTATTTATCCTCTGTTACCTTGTCATTGAATAGCCACTTGAATCTCTAGGAACATTTAGTAAAGGCATTATGGCCTAATTTTGCATTAGACTGCTGTTTGAAGAGGAATGCCAAATAAAAATTTTAAATCAATAAATTAGGACTGAAAAATTTAAGCTTGTTTTCAGAACTAACTATAGATAGCACTAAGATCGCGGAATGCATGATAAAAAGATTTTCTATCTTTAGTTTGGTGAAAATTTATTTGAAACTTTCTTGTGGAGAGGAATTCGCAGTCTTGGAGGTAACTGATCAATTTACACTCACACAAAGTTGTTCTAATTATTTTTAAGTAACTTGTGTGCCTATGTGCTGCTTTATGCTGGCTGAAAATTCCAGGTTCCACAAGTTGCAAGATAAAATCAAACTGATGTTCACTTTCTAAACAAAATATCCTGACTTATGAAAGGAATAAATGCAAAGAGATGGTGGCCAATAAAGGAGAAAATCTTTGAAACTCTGTATTTTACAAGCCAATATTCTTTTGGAGCTGGAAATCATAAAAAGAATAATGTACATCTTTAGTGTGTGTATAATCACAGGTGAGACCTACCCAGTAGCTTTCCTGGAACAGTGCTTGGGTGTGTGTTCTCCACACACTTCGTGTGGCACCTTGGTAGCAGTTCTGAAGGAGAAAGAAAGGATACTGTCGAAAGAGAGGCCCAGAGTGCCTTATTGTTCCATTGGTCTTGCAAAGGACCTGTTAAACATCTGCACAGAATGGTGCTCAGTTTGTGTCCCACGAATCTACAGGTCTTGAGGAGTGAGTTTGGTGCTGATATATGGCCCATGGAAGTCCCTTGGGGATTCCTGTGCTCTGTGCACTAATTGTTGTCTTGATTCTCACATTATGCAGCTTCCCTTCCTAAGATATACATTGTTTTCATCAATATAATTTGATGTATGTTGTTTTCAATGGCTGAAACTTTGTGTGTGTGTGGAGAGAATATGTCTTAGCAGGTGTATATTACCAGATAAATATTTTATGATCATAAATAGTGAAGATGAGGTTTTCTTTACAGCCATTTGTAATTTAGCTGTTAACTGCTTGTGTTGACTGCTGTATGAGCTGGTGCTTCTGTTTAGGGAGCTTATATAGAAGAAAAGACATTTTTGGGTGTAGTGCCACTCGAGAAGTGTCAAGGAAATGGTGTGTGGCCCCATCTTCATAAAGTCCTAAGGAAATAAGAGTTCACATGGAAACATTTTGTAAGAAATTCAGAATCTTGGGACCACACTCACCAAATCAGCCCCTGTTAGTTTGGCTCATTTTGTCATTTTCTCTTTATATCAAGTATGAGAAAAAAAAAAAGAATCAAGTATGAGAAAAACCCAGTCAGTGTTACAGGGCAGGAAGTATAGTTCAGTGATAGAGAGCTGGCCTCCTTATATGTACAAGGCCATGGCTCAGTCACCAACCCTGCAGAAAACAAGTGAAGCGATGGATGGGGCAGGTAAAAGCTGTGGAGTTAGGGATCGTGTGGGACAAGGTTTTTGTTCTATCGAGAATGAAATGCTAAATAAATAAGGAAGAAAAGACATGCTCAGTCCAGGCTGCACCAGAGTCTTCTCACACTCTGGAAGAAAATGCCAAGACAGGAAGAAGGCTGCTGACTGCATGCTCCAGGGTCAGAGTGCTGTGTTCTGATCAGTGTGGCTGAGCGTCAGAGGCAGGAACATTCTGCTGAGAAAGAAAGTGACAACTGGGGAAACTTTGTTTAGCTGTCATTGTTAGTGATAATTCTGGTGCTGATTTCTATTGCCTGAAGTCATTGAGTAGATAGGAAAGCATTATAAAACAATTAGAAAGGCCAGTTTATAACTTGTTATTACCACTTTTCTGGGATAGAATGCATACCTATGGTGTGGCTCATGCCTGTGATCCCAGCACTCTGGGGGCTGTGGAAAGGAGAACAGCTGTGGATTTGAGTACAGAGTGAGTTCCAAGTTATCCTAGGACACACAGCAGAAGACCTTGTCTCAGAAAACCACACACACTTGCACACAACAAAGAAACCTTGGTTTTAGTTCTGTTTTTCTGTACCCTGAGTTTTTAAAATCTTTGTATTTTTTATAAAAGCTGGCATCACTTTATGTGTGTGTATGTGTGCATGTTCTTGGGTGTTCTTGAGAACATCAGGTGTCTCTCTTTGTCAACTCCTTCCCTTATCTTTTTGAGATAGTTTCTCACTGAAGCTGGAGCTCTCCGGATTCTCCTAGACTGGCTGGCAAATCCCAGTAACCTTCCTTTCTCTGCCCTCTCAAGCCAGTTCCAGCATTACAGGCACATGCTCCTACCAGCTGCTGTGTGGGTACTGACTCTCGGAACTAGCGCCCCTCATACTTATACAGTAAGCACTCACCGACCCATCTGCCACGCCCCCAAATAACCCTGTTTTTAAGATAAACTATAAACATTTTAGAAGAAAGAGCTTGTCTTACAGAAAGACCCTGTGAATAAACAGAATGATTTGTGTACAGACATTGTTCTGTAGCTGCCTAGTTTTCACTGTCAGAAAAACACCTCAGAAAGGCTTGGGGCTTATCTTCTCTAAACCAGGAGCTGCAGCAGTCACTCCCTCAGCTGCTGCTAAGATATTTTTCAGGCAGGCCTTTAAAAAACAAAGACAAAACAGTCTTTTGTGCCCATGAGTGTTTTGCTTGTATGTCTGTGTACCATGTGCATGCAGTGCCCTCAGAGGCCAGAAGAGGGCACTGGATCCTCTGGGACTGGAATTGTAGTTGTGAGCCACCATGTGGGTGCTGGGCACTGAGCCTGGGTTCTGTGGAAGAGCAGCCAGTGCGCTTACTCCCAGCTGTCTCTCTAGCCCCAAGTAGGCCTTTTATGGTTTCAGAGCTTTGGTGAGTATACGTTCCTGGCCACTATTCTTGGTTATGATAATTTTTATGAAAATAAGATAATATAGAAAAGCTCAACTTGACCTTTTAAACATAATTTGTTTTTTTCTTTTTCTTAGGATCTTATAAGTTCAGTCCTCTAAACCAAGGTTGTCTGGAACTCAGACCCACCTGCCTCTGTCTCTGCCTCCTTGTGCATTATAGACATGTACCTCCATACTCAGCCTGCTTGTTTTATATACATGAAGTTCCTTTTTCCTTCTCCCTATTTTTATTTTATGTGTATGGGTGTTTTGTCTGCATGTATGTCTGTGTACCATAAGGATACCATGCCTCTGGAGGCAGAAGGCTGAATTACATAGCTAGTTGTGAGCCGCCATGTGGGTGCTAAGAAATGAAACTGTGGTCCTGGAAGAGCAGTCAGTTCACTTTTGTTGTTGCTGCGTTGGCTTTGTTTCTTTTCAGGGGAAACAATAACTTCATATACTATTTTTAGAAATCTTTTGAGAGGAAAAGAGTTTGTGATATTTGAACTCAAAGAGTACTTATGTGACATAGATGCTAGCAGTGAGGAAGAAATGTGTCTAATTGTCATTGTGTGTATTTCCTTTGTGTTGGAGCTGAACTTTAGAAGGCTCTTCTGTCTGAGTGGCCTTGGGAACATAGTGCGTTGTGAGTTGCTCCTGCCTTTGTGACAGCTGCAGTTGCAGGCTATAAAGGAACAAGTTGAATGTCAAAGGTGACATTGGATTAGTTGTTTTTAGTACCCTCTTCCCTTAGGCCTGTAGTACCTTTCTGTTTTACACTCTGAAAACTGCATGATTTAAAACTTTTGTTTTTGTTTTTGTTTTGTGATACTAATGCATGTATCATTACCTATATAAGAGATTCTAATTAACTTTTGCAACATTTTAACTAATATATCTAAAATTCTATCAAGTTTTTGTTTGTAGTATAGTAGAAGGGTTTTGGTTTATATAGTCATAGGTTTTTTTAAAATTTTCATTAGTTAAAATTCATCTGTGTGTTGTCTTAAAAATTCTTATAAGGGGAAAAACCAGATTAGACATAAATACTGTGGCCAGGATTTGACATCTTGCTCCAAAGGCTGTCACCTCTGCTGACATTTGAGCCTCAGAGAAGATCCCTAAGTTTTAATTGTGCCTTTAGGACTGTTTTTATTAATTCTGTTCAGTGACTTAATCGCTTGAGTACATGCAGCAAGCAGTGAGTCCAGTCCAGTCTCTGCCCAAATCATTTTCCAGTTGTCATGTCAGCTCTGTTTTGTTGTGATATACAACCAAAAAAATGAGTTGAAAGGCAGAGGCATGAACACAAACTGAATTAGTTAAGTTCCTCGAGTTCTGTTTTGAATGATCTGATCTTGGGTTATTTATTTATTTATTTATTTATTTATTTATTTATTTGGTGGGGGTGGGTGATCTTTGCTTTCTACCAGCAAGTTTCTACTTCTTAGTATTTGGATTCGTACTCAAGATGCATTACCTTTATGAGAAAGATGGCGTAGCTAGTCTCTATGATTATAAATGTTTTATTAGCTGTTACCATCCCTTGTGTTAAAGTACCATGGGTCTAAGAAGATCTCCACAAGGCTTTTCTAAAACAAAATCCATCTCTTCATAAATATCTTGTGAAAGAAAATTTAGAGCCCTCCATTTTAAAAAGCTTTCTTGCTTTGCATAAAATTTATACAATTTTAATTTCAACGTTATATTGATATTAAAACATAGATTCAGTCTTGTCTTAAAAGTGTATTACAATTTATTTCTTGCCGTTTTTGTGTAAAATTTACAGAAAGAGTGTTACACCGTGCGCTCCAAAGGTAATGTCTCATTACTCTAAGGCTCTCTCTTTTTCTTTGCCTTTGTTTCTTTAATCCTATTGTTATGTGTATTGAAACATTTTAAGGAAAAAAAGCTTTCTGCTTGTTTTGTGTAGCAGCAGTGTATGTAAAACAAAGGTGTTTGTTGCTTATAGTTAACCTCAGAAGGACAGTTCATTTCAGTGGCTCTTGTGCTCACTGGGTGGTGTTTTACATTAGGATTTTAGGAACTAGTAAGGTCCAAAGCTGCTCTGATGATGGCATAAGTGTAGTTTATTATTTGGAACAATAGCAATACTTTTCAGTTTCTAGGGTTTGTGATTTAAATGAACCCTTGCAGTAACTGCTTTAAGTGGATTCAGGGCATGGAGTGACTGTATCTAAGTGACAGGAGAGAACAGAAGTGTGTGAGCACTGAAGCTTTAATAAGTGTGTATAAACTTACACATCTCTGCTCTTCTGAGTCTTCATTTACTGTGTGTGTATCGTTGTCACGAGTGATATCATTGAGACCATTGGGTGTAGTAAAGAGTTGGGTAGGGTTCCTCTGTCTGCTTTAATAGACTTGGCTGAGCATATGGTCTCTCCTGCCCTCCTGTTATCCTACGGGCTGTTGACTGTTTACCATGTGTGCTGTAAATACAGTGCCAATGTGCCTGCCCTACAGAGAGCCCTGAAATTTGTAGGCCCAAATCCAGAGAGTTCCTTTTTTTGTGAAATACTGTTCATGTTCTTACTGTGTATTCTATCCCAGTTAAGGTGCAAGCTGGTCTTTCTGTATCCTGAATTGCAGGATATTGACTGAATTGACAGTCAGTTAAATGTTTCACATGGGTTTGGACTCTGAGCAGACTGAAAATTGTCCTCAGAGGCGGAGGTGGCCCTTTCCTCTATTCGTGAGTACATTAAGGGCTGAGTTTGTTTATCAGCCAGTTCTCATTTGAATTGAACACAGAACTAGGGCCTGACCATGTCGCTCAGTGGTTGAGCACGTTTCTAACACATGTGAGGGACCTAGGTTCATTTTCAAAATAAGACAGGTCGTCTGCCCCATCCTCAGTCTGAGTCTGTGTTGCTGCAGCGAGCTGGAATTTGTTCCGAGTTTGCCTTACATAGCTTTAATAGTATTTGTTAGCTCAGGTGGCAGTCAAATTAGACTTTGTGTATGCTAGAAAAATCCTTAGTCTCTTCTCAATGCTGGATTCCTGCGAGTGAGGCCCAAAAAAGGAGAAGCGTATCTGGCCAGTAAACAATCACAGGTGTTCATCTGCACGGCAGAGCCGTCTTACCTTTTCTGGAGGCACCTTACACCTTCTGAGCACGTATTACCGTCTAGCTCGTGTGTTAGTTTCAGTTTCGGGAAAGTTGTACAACACAGGAATATTTTTGTTTTATGGTTATTGTCTGCCTTGGCTTCTGGGTGATCGTTTCATAGTTTCAGTGTTTGTGGCTCACCAGTTGTTAGATTTTCTTCACTTCTTTTCCCTTTTTTGTTACCTGTTTTTATTTAAAAATTAAACTGGCTTTAATTTCTACTCAATTTTCTAAGAAATATTTGAGACGTGTGACTTTAAAACTCAGAATTTAATTTAAAGTTCTGAAACTTAAGTTGACATTAAATTTTTTTTAAGTTAAATCTATCTATACTCCTCTAACAGAACTGGATGTTCTTAAAGTAAGTATAAGCATTACAGTCTCTTATACAGTAATGTTTTTTGGCATTTTTGTAAGGTTAAATTGTGTTCTGTTCATGTGTCTTAGAATAGCTTTAATATGGTCTAATAGGTCATCTGTTTCCATCTTTACTAATTGAGGTTCTGGTGGTCTAATGCCGATCAAGCTATCCACTTTCAAATTTTTGCGTTGTAATTCACATATAAAGATCTATGAAAAATGTTATGGGAAAACGAGCTTGGGTTCAAAATATCTTAACCAAGTATACCCCGCAGATTTCCCAACAGTGACAGTGGGACATTCACAGAGCAGCTGTTGGGGTGTTTTCTGGACCATGGAAATTGAAGATGTCAATAATATCCCCCTCAATTCTTATTTTGCTGTGAAGAGTATCAGCCGTTTGAAAGTCCCTCCTTTTTGCATTTTCAGAGTGTGACTGGCAAAGCTTAAATGAAAGAAGAGGGGCAGGCAGTTCTGCAGCTAGGACTCCTCAGGCTCCTCCACTGCCTACCTTAAAGTATATACAGACTGTCTCAGTCTTAACAAACCAAAGAGCCAGTGGGGGAGTGGCCAGTCTCATCACTCCTTCTAGTGGGGCAAGGCCTTCCTCCTTGTTTAATTATGCTGGGAAATTGGTTTTTTTAATGTTTGTTTCTGTTGCTATTATTGTTTTTGGTTTGAGAGTAAATTTAAGTTCAGTGTGTATGCTGTACATTTTCCTAATGCAAATGAAACCTATCTCATATAGTCTAATAGAATTGCTTTTATAATTCATTGCATTCTTGGTTTTTTTTAAATCAGCAAAATGGCTACTATTGGTGTTTGGATGTATATTATGTTTAACATTTTTTCTGTCTTTTTATCTTTACTTCTTTGTTTACTACATGCTGTGTTTAAACCTTCTGCTTTCTTCATCTGAATACGTCATTTTTGATACCATCTTTGTGTTGATGTTTATTGTACAGAACTACAAAGCCTGCTCCACACCTGGATGGGTAAGCATCAAGTTATTAATCGTAGGATGTTATTTGGGTGATAAGCCTGAAAGACAGGTCGACCAGGAGTTAGTCTTTCATTATCAAGCTCTTCCTGAGGGGGCACAGAGAACAGTAGTTTTGAGAGCCCATCTCTTGTATGACTGAAGGGCTTCCCATCCATGTGGTTTTGATTGCCCCTGTTGAGGTGATTTCTCAGTATGAAGTATATACTCTGTTATCAGATTCTTTTTTTTTTTTTCCCCCCCAAGACAAGGTTTCTTCGTAAATTTGGAACCTGTCCTGGAACTAGCTCTTGTAGACCAGGCTGGCCTTGAACTACAGAGATCCGCCTGCCTCCGCCTCCTGAGTGCTGGGATTAAAGGTGTGCGCCACCACCACCCGACTGATTTCTTTTAATTCAGAATCAGCCAATACTTTTAGTCTGTGGATGAGTTTTTTCTTTTTCTGTTCCAGCATTTTTTTGTTCGGTTTGGTTTGTTTTGGTTTGGTTTTTCGAGACAGGGTTTCTCTGTGTGTAACAGTCCTGGCTGTCCTAGAACTTGCTTTGTAGACCAGACTGGCCTCAAACTCACTGAGATCTGCCTGCCTCTGCCTCCGAGTGCTGAGATTAAAGGTGTGCATCATCACCGCCTGACTGTTGTCAGATTCTTAACCCTAGGAAGGCTAGGAGCCACTGCAGAACAGCCCCACTTCTCTTCAGATGAACTGTTGCTGTTTCCTATTACGATGTAGATTTCAAGTTGTCTTTCCCTTCTAGTTGGTTCATAACATTTTGACTTTGTTTTCAGTTCTGTGAACATGTTTTTTGTGGCATTGTCCCAATTACTGTTTATAATATAATTATCAGACTAACTTATTTCTTGAATTTATATTATGACAGGGTTCATGTTGTGTTTGGACTGGTTATTTCCGGTTTTGAAGTAATTGAACAGATTGAAAATCTGAAAACGGATGCTGCAAGCAGACCTTATGCAGATGTCCGAGTTATTGACTGTGGGGTGCTTGCCACAAAGTTGACCAAAGATGGTAAGAACTTTTGGAGGGTGGAGGACTCTTTGATAGAGGTGAAAGAGTACGCCAACTTGAAGATACCTTCTCAATATCTAAGATAGCTTCTAAATGTTAGTGTGAATAGTGGTAGCATTGGTGCTTCAATGCCATTCTTCATCCTATCCACCACCAGATGCCGTCAGTCCCTTGTTGCTTCTGCCTGGCTGCTGGCTCATGCAGGCCGTCTCATGCCTGTGTTATTGAAGTACCTTCATAGCTATCTATGTCTACCTTGCTCCTGTCTTGTTTTCGTGTGAAAATTCATCAACAGGAGTTCTTCTGGTTTTTGTGTTTTACTTTGTTTTGTCTTTAGCAGCTACCAGAGTGATCCTCTTAAGCCACATTTCATATGCACATCCTTCCTGTCCTGACACCTACAGTGTCACCTGCACCTCAGCACATAGGCCTGCGACTCTCTGTTGTCTTTATTTTTCCCTTAACCATTGTCTTCAGTCCACACTGACCTTTATGCAGACACTAAGGGACTTTTTGTGCCTGCCCTGGGTTGTCTAGAACATTGTTTAAGATATCTATATGACTCTCCCTCCTTTAGGTCTCTGTTCAAATGTAGTCTTAAGCCACATGCTTCTCTATTCTCTTTGCATTGTTCCTATCTGCCCTAGCTCTCATCACTGTCACACTGATTTAGAATATAGGCTTCATGGTGGGCAAGGGCATTGGTATTTTTCAAGTTTGCAGACAACTATCTTATCTGTAACTGAGGAAAAGTTTACATCTAGTTTTAGTTTGCTGTGCACGAAGTGGTTACGTGATGATCAGTAATCACTGTTTCACTCTGGATGGTGTCACTGGGTTCAAGTACTAATATTTTTGTTAATGTCTATTAAAAGTTTTTGAGAAAAAAAGGAAGAAGCCAACGCATTCGGAAGACTCGGATTCTTCTTCCAGTTCCTCTTCCTCTTCAGAATCATCCTCAGAAAGTGGAGTTGAGCAAGAAAGAATCAGAAGGAGGAGACACAAGAGGAGGCCCAAAGTCAGACACACTAAAAAGAAGCGGAAGGAGATGAGCTGTTTAGAGGAGCCCAGGAGGAAACGCACAGCGAGCCCTGAAGGGTAAGTGTGAGTCAGTGGTCCAACCCAGCACAGGGCCTGCACAGTGACCACTCTGCCGGCTCAGTGTTGTTGTGCACCCCGTACCGAGAGAGGGGAGGGAGCCTTTTATTTATTCTGAAAATTTCATACATGTCTACAAGGTAATTTGATCATCTATTTCCTAATCCCTCTTCAAACCCCAGTACCCACTATGTCTCCCTCTTCTTTTATTTTTAATCTCTCTCTCTCTCATTTTCAATAACCCACTGAGTCCATTTAATGTGACCTCTGTGCAGTGGGTATAGGGCCACCCTCTGGAACATAAGCAGTATATATCAGGGTCCACACCCCTGAAGAAAACTGATTCTCCCTAAAGCGAAACATGGGTAATTGAAATGGCTCAGTGTCTTCTCACCAAGCCTAACAACCTGAATTTGATCCCTGGGACACAGGTGGTAAAAAGAGTGAGCCATCGCCCACAAGTTGTTTCACTTCAACATCATGGTATGTGCACAATAGCACACACAAATAAATACAATTTTAAAGAAGGAAACATTGCTAGGCAGTGGTATTGCACACCTTTAATCCCAACACTCAGGAGGCAGAAGCAGGCAGATCTCTGTGAGTTCGAGTTCAGCCTGGTCTACAGAGTGAGTTCTAGGACAGTCAGGGATGTTATACAGAGAGACCCTGTCTTGAAAATCCAAAGCAAACAAACAGAAAAAGGAAACATAAGTAGCATTGACAACTTCCATTTCAAAATTTTAGTATTCTAGGGTTTTTTCTCTTTTTAATTTTTTTTCTTTTTGTAAAAAATTTCGTTGCTCTGGATTTTTTAAATATATTTGTTGTTTTTATATTTATATATTTGTAAAAATCAATAACTCAGAGTAAATTTTGCTGTTTTATGTGCCTTTATTTGATGAAATACTAGCATCTAAATTGGTGACGTGATTTATTTTAGTTATTCTGAGAGGAGTGATGTGAATGAGAAAAGATCAAGTGATTCAAATGCTAAAAGAGAAAAGCCAGTTGTCCGTCCGGAAGAGATTCCTCCAGTTCCTGAGAACCGATTTCTACTTAGAAGAGATATGCCTGCTGTCACAGTGGAGCCTGAACCGTAAGTAGGCGGGTGGCACATTGCTCTTCTCCCTGCTGTGCCTGCTGACAGCAGCACCTTGCTCTTGGGTTCCGGGAATTAAGTGCTGCTGCAGAGAGCAGACCATGGAGCAGCGCTTAGCACAGTGGACAAGAAGCAGAGGGAAGGGAGTGCTGCCGATCACCTGGTTGCTCCTCCTTCCTCTTGTAATCTGCCCTGGCCCTAGCACATGGGATAGTTAGTATGCCCAGTCTTGTAGTGACTGGATAACCGTCAAGTTGACAGTGGTAGTTAGCAAGCACACTGTGTATTTTTGTCTCCTGATGGATAAGTCCATTATTTCTTTGCAACTTTACACTCAGGCTCAGAGTACATAGAAAGATACTGCAGGTAGTTCCCAGAGCACTGAATGGCTTGTACCTCCTTTTGGAACCTACACTGGAGTATGTGACTAGATGAAGGAAATGGGCACGTTATTCAATGAGTGTGTGTTCTGCTTGTTTGGTTAGGTGGTTTTTGTCTGCTTATGACTCTTGTTATGTGTTGTATGCTAGCCTTGAACTTGGGATCCTTTTGCTTTATCCCCTAGAGGATTAGAGCTATAGCTATGTATATGCTGCCATGCCTGGAGGGAGGGAAATGCTTATTTGAGGTCTGGGAAGGTTATATTACTGATCTTGCTGCATTGGCCTTTTGTTCAGAATGGGTTATCAGGTTGATTGAGCCCTGTGGATCCAACTGAGCCATGAAATGTTTCACTTTTAATAGTGCAGAGGTGACTGGAGGTAAAATTTAGTATCATAAATAATACTGTAGTTAATTTCCTTTGCATTGTGGCTTTAGATTTAGTCTCAGAAAATACCATTTAATGTACTTTGTATATTACATTTAAATTCAGAATTATTAAAATATTAAAAGGGCATGAATATGGTGGCATATGCATGTAGCCTAGCCATGAATGAGGACTTTTTTTTAAACACATGAAAAGGTTTTAATTTTTTTATTTTCATTTATCCTATGTGCCTTTCACATTATGCATCTCAATCCCATTCATTTCCCCATCCCCTCACATCTACCCTCTGCCTCTGCAACCCTCCCCCCAAAATAAAACAAAATTAAAGGGAAAAAAGGGAAAAATTGAAAATCTCATCACGGAAGTTGCCATGTGACACAGTGAGTCGCGCAGTAAACCTTTTTATCTGTGTGTCTGTATTTGTAAGTGTCATTGGTCTGATTTGAGGCCTCTGGTTTCTATTACACCATCAATGCTGGGCCCTCACAGAGACTCCTCTTGGCTATCCTGCTGTTGCTGTGTTGTGGAGATCCTGCAGGTCAGACCCCTTCACATGCTCCAGCAGGTCATGGATGGGGTGGATGTTGACGTGGGCCAAGTCATAACCCTGGTTCTGGCCCTAGGAAGCTGCAGGGTTGTCAACCTGCCAGTTGCCAGTTCTCCCCTCACCAGGGTGAGCTCTCCAGCATTGCCCCCAGCTAATCCACCCTTGAGCAAGTAGTAAGGTCAGTTCTCAGGGTCATTTCTCCCCCACCTACACCATCAGGACCAGTTCTACTGTGTTGTCCAGGCAAGGTGCAGGGGCCACTCTCTTGAGTGCTGCAACTGGTTAAGGGGCAGGTACAGCCTTTCTGCTCTTATGACCCCAGGGCCAGCTCTTCCACCTGTCCCAGGAGTTGATGGACTGGGGGTAAGGGGAGAAGGTATCTCTTCCACCCATGCTACCAGATACTAGATGAATAATGGGGTGACCCTTGCAACTTTGCATCTGGGTCACCCACACCTCCAACAACAGGGCTGGCTCTGCTGTACTGACTAGGCAAGGAGCAGGGCCCGCTTTCCTGAGTGCTGTTGCTGGCAAAGGGGAGGGTCGTCTCCTCTCTGTCTATTGGAGGTGGTAAGGAGTGGGGTGGGGACATACAGCGAGCATCTCTTCCCCATCCACACTACTACATGACAGTTGAGTAACGGAGACAGCTCTCCCATGCGTAGAACTTTGAGGCTAGCTCACCAACACTTTTGCCAACATGGTTTGCTTTATTGTGCTGCCCTGGTGAGGTGCAGGACCTGCTCTTGTGAGTGTTTTAGCTGGTGGGGGTCAGGGATGGCTCTCCTGCTCTTAGGACCTCAGGGTCAGCTCTCCCACTTGCCTCAGGGGTTGATGGGCAGCAGAGGGGGGCATCTTTCCCCTGCCCATGCTACCACAAGGCAGATGAGAAATGGGGACAGCTCTCCCACGCTCAAAACTTGAGGGATGGCTGACCAACACCTCCATTAACAGGCTTGGCTCTATTGTGCTGTGCAGGCTAGGTACAGAGCCTGCTTTCCTGAGTGTTGCAGCCCGTGGAGAGCTGGGGAAGATCATTTGACCCCAGAAGTCATGTCCATCCTGAACAACATAACAAGGTCTAGAGTCAAAAGAGGGAAGTGAGGAAGGAGAGGGAGAAGGAGAGGAAAATGTTCCACGTGAACAAAAGCGCCACAGTGCTTGATGTAAGTCTTAAGCTCCTGTGAGTTTGTTTAGACAGCTGAGAAGCCAAGCAGAGCTGTACCCTAGCCCTTCACAGGTTTTTGTTTTGTTTTCTTTGCTTATTTATTTTTGAGACAGGGTGTTGCTGTGTAGCTAGGCTGGCATTGAACTCCCCCCACATGCTGGGATTATAGACATGTGCTGGCATGGCTGGCTTCCTCCACAATCTTTTATTTAAAAAAGAAAGTTAACTAATAAAAAATCGTTTTTTCAAATACATATTTACTAATGGAATTTTTCTGGGGCAGGGTAACTCCAATCTGGAGCTCAAGTTAGTGTTCTCTTTTAGGACAGTTGTTAGAGCTATTGCTCTGATAGTCTGCACTGAGAGTCTGCAGTTCACACACCTCATGTTTATATATGAGTCATGAATATAGCACTTGAAATACTAGTTGTGACTGTATCTGATATGTGGTGCACCTCATAGCTGAGTGAGCTCAGGAAAGTGTGGATGGATGCGATTGCTCTCATAAAACTTTATGGATAGTGACATTTGAATTTCATGTAATTCTTATGTCATGAAATATGAAACCTTGTATTATAAACACTGTAGCTCTGCCTGGGAACATTGGGAAAACTTTCTGGCGTTACTCATTTTTAATTGTCATCACAACTTTTTCAGGAACATTCCAGATGTCGCACCTGTTCCGAGTGATCAAAAACCATCTGTGTCAAAGTCTGGACGGAAAATTAGAGGAAGAGGCACAATTGTACGTATGCTAGAACTTTCTTCTTTCACATTGCTTACCTAAGTAGTAATTTGTAAAAATGTATTTTAAATATCTAAGGTTTAGTTTTACATAGACTGTTTCTCTTGTCAGGCAGTGGTGGCTCATGCCTTTAATCCCTGCACTGGGAGGCAGAGGCAGTTGGCATCTTGATCAAGGCCAACCTGGTCTACAAATCGAGTTTCAGGACAGCTAGGGCTACAAAGAAAAACCTGTCTCAAAAAAAAAATCCTTCTGTTATAAGACATCATTTTTATTTTGCATAATTTGGGAAGGTACTGCCTTTGCATACATTTACAGCTGTAGATGGATTTAATTATTCAGTGTCGTACTACATGAAATATTGAGAAGTCTGAGTATATTGAATAATGGAGGCTAGAATGTGTTAGGACTGCAAAGGAAGCTATTCTATAGGAATCTGGCTAAATGCCTTGCCTTTCTTGCCTCTCAGTGTCTTGTATTTGAAGTAACTTCATACTATCCAGTTGATCCTTAAATTAGTGCCTAGATTAGACCTTTGCCTGAGTGTCCTATATGGGGCATTTTAGAACAGTCACTGCCCTCTCTTGTCTTTAAGCGCTATCACACACCTCCAAGGTCACGATCTCATTCTGAGTCTGAAGATGATGACAGCAGTGAGACTCCTCCTCACTGGAAGGAGGAGATGCAGAGACTGAGAGCTTACAGGCCACCAAGCGGAGAAAAGTGGAGCAAAGGAGACAAGTAAGCACTTGGAACGTAAACACAGCCTGGATGCAGAGCAATAAATGCTGGAGAGTCACCTTCTGACGTCCACAGTCAAGACAGCCAAGGGAAAGCTCTAGCGCAGCACTGCTGCTACCTGAGGCCAAGGGCCCTTCAGTCAGGTGCTGCTTCTCTGTGCTGAAAATCCGAGTGGACTCTGACCTATAGAGCTGATCAGATCTTAGACATCACTAGTAGATGTCTGACTTGACAGAAGCCTTAGTCACAGGCACATGGATTAGTGAATAGAGCCTGAATCGCCCAGAAGTTAATCTCTGATTCCAAGGACTGTTAGATAACAGTGGTGCCCTAGTAGGAGTAATTGTCTGTTTTCAAAGGGGCCTGGCTCTAGAATAGCTAGTGGGGAAGTAATTCTTCATGGAAAACTTCTGACTTCTCTGAAGGCATCTTAAAGAGAATGGTTTTGAATTTAAAGAACAAGGAAGAGGCAGGTATTGCATAGACGTGGTGGTGCTGAGGACTCACTTGTGAGCCATGTCTTCGTAAGATCGTGAAGCTTTTGTCAGTTTTCATGTAATTGTGTTTGATTTCTGTTTTAAGTCAATAGGAGTTTAGGAGAAAGTATTAATTACTACAGTGAAGTAGAGAGAATGTAGCTGTCATTTCAGTGTTAAAGTAGGTTCCCACTAAGGACATTTCTGTGTTCGTGTGACTTACATAGTTATACAGTCTCTGAAAGAAAAAAAAAAAAGCTGGTCAGGTGTTGGTGGCGCATGCCTTTAATCCCAGGCAAAGGCGGGTGGATCTCTTGTGACTTTGAGGCCAGCCTGGTCTACAGAGTGTGTTCCAGGACAGCCAAGGCTACACAGAGAGGACCTTGTCTCAAAAAAAAAAAAAAAAAAAACAAGAAAGAGAGGAAGAAAGGAGGGAAAGAGGGAGGGAGGGAGGGAAAGAAAGCTGAGTATAGTGATGCTTGCCTTTAGTCTCATTATTGGGAGCAGAGACAGATGCATGCATCTTTGTGTGTTTAAGCCTGGTCCACATGGGTGCATCCCAGACCAGCTGGGGCTATATAGTGAGATATCTTAAAAACAAATAACATTTTAAAAAAGAAAAATAGGTTGGAGAGATCACTCTGGTTAAGAGCACTGGCTGCTCTTCCAGAGGACCTAGGTTCAATTCCCAGCACCCACAAGGCAGCTCAGAATTGTCTGTAACTCCAGTTCCAGGAGGTCTGACACCTTCACACAGACATACATGCAAAAACAAAACACTAGTGCACATAAAACATTTAAAAAGTTTAAAAAAAAAAAGCCAACTTTTTAGCCAGGCCCGATGGCATTATAATACCAGTGTTTGGAAGGCTGAGTTCAGCCTGGCCCACATAGTGAGTGCCAGGCCAGCCTGGGACACATAACAGGAGCCTGTCTCTTCAAAAACAAAGAGATTAGGAAGATAGCTTAGTTGGTAAAATGCTTGCCTTGTAAGCATGAAGACTCAAATATATGTAAAAACAAAGTGTAACGGTAAGCACTTTATAATCCCAGTGCTGGAAGCTGAGACAGGAGGATCCTTGGGGCTTGCTGGGCAACAGTCTGCTGTATTAATGAATCCTAGACCAATGAAACACTCTCAAATAAATTAGTGTTCCTAAGAATGGCATCTGGTTGCCCTCTACACATGTGCACACACACATACATGTGCACATGGATTTTTTACAAAAGAAGAAATTTTTAAGACTCTTTAAAAAGTTTATAGTCAGGACAAGGTACCTAGCTCTGTGGTAGAGCGCTTGTTTAGCATGCATACAGTCCTGAGTGATGATGCCAGCACCACAGAGATAGATTGTCCAAGTCCTAGCTCTATCTGCAGAGACTCCTCAGTGAGGTTGTTTGGGAACCTGGTTTTACTCTCTCAGAAATTGCTCTTGGAAGGAGAGGGTTGTGAGCAGATGATATCGGGAGTCCTGTGTCTGGTTAGTTGGTGTGGTTTTCCAAGCATTCTCGGTCTTTGATTTACTTGAAAACAGGAAGGATCTTCTGTGAGGCTGATGATAGTTGTCATCTCTGGTACATGTTAAAGTGTTGAGATTGGACACTCTGTTGTTAGTAAGAAGTGTGTTGTAAGACACAAAGTATTTGCAATAACTGCATGCATGTTATCCTGCTCGCTTACAGGCTAAGTGATCCCTGTTCAAGCCGATGGGATGAAAGAAGCTTGTCCCAGAGATCCAGATCATGGTCCTATAATGGATACTATTCAGATCTAAGTACAGCAAGACACTCTGATGGTCACCACAAGAAACGCAGAAAGGAAAAGAAGTTTAAGCATAAAAAAAAAGCTAAAAAGCAGAAGCATTGCAGAAGACACAGACAGACGAAGAAGAAAAGATTAGTAATGCCACCTGACTTGGAACTCTCAAGATCTGCCACCCACCGAATGAAGTCCTCTTGTGACAGAGAAAGGAGACCCCGTGCCTCCTCCTCCTCCTCCTCTCGCCACTCCTCAAAGCGGGCCTGGTCTAGATCAGACAAGGACGACCGGAGCTCCTCAACCCACTCCAGCAGAGACTCCTACAGATCCAGGTCTCATTCACCATCAGATTCTAGAGGGAGCTCTAGATCAAGGGCTTTGTCAAAGTCCTCATCACGCTCTCATGACAGATCCCAGTCCAGATCTAGTTCCAGGTCAGAACCCCGGAGGACAGCATCAAACTCACCAAAACAGTCTGCTTCCTTGAGTGAAAATAAGCCAGTTAAGACAGAACCTTTAAGATCATCAATGCCACAGAATGGAAATGTGCTAGTACAGCCAGTGGCAGCAGAAAACATTCCTGTAATACCATTGAGTGACAGCCCTCCCCCTTCTAGGTGGAAGCCTGGGCAGAAGCCCTGGAAGCCCTCCTATGAGCGAATTCAGGAGATGAAGGCTAAAACAACTCACTTGCTGCCTGTCCAAAGTACATATAGTTTAACAAATATTAAAGAAACTGGGAGTTCATCATCCTATCACAAAAGAGAAAAAAATTCAGAAAGCGATGGGAGCGCTTATTCAAAGTACAGTGACAGAAGTTCTGTGAGCTCATTAAGGTCAGGGGGTAAGTCTTCTAGGAGCCGGTCATCCTCTAGGTCATATACAAGGTCAAGGTCACGGAGTCCACCTACTTCACGATCTAGGTCTCCATCATCTAGGTCTCACTCACAAACAAAGTATAGTGATGGCTCCCACCGCAGCAGATCGTCTTCATACACTTCTGCCAGCAGTGATGGGGGACGCCGAGCCACGAGGAGGACGTTTAGATCCCGTGGGAAAAAAAGTGTCACTTCAAATAAAAGACACCACAGCAGCTCAAAGAAGATACTTCACAGTAAATATGTCAAAGGCAGAGAGAAGTCTTCATGTCACAGAAAGTATAGTGAAAGTAGATCATCTGTAGATTATTCTTCGGATAGTGAACAGTCACATGTTGAGTTAGTGCACTCAGCCCGAGAGAAGGAGAAGCAGGGGAAAACAGAAGTATTGAATGATAAGCAGGGGAAAAGCAAAGAAGAAGGAAAGGGCAAGCCAGAATGGGAAAAGAGGCCTTTGAAAGAGAGTCTTTCTGATCATTCTAGAGATGGCAGTAGGTCCAAAGGGAAGAACTGTGCTGGGAGCAAATGGGACTCTGAATCAAACTCCGAACAAGATGTGACTAAAAGCAGGAAAAGTGATCCCCAGAGATGTTCTGATAAGGAGGAGGGCGAAGCCTCTTCGGACTCTGAGTCAGAAGTTGGCCAAGGTCACATCAAAGCTAAACCCCCAGCAAAGCCTTCAGCAAACACTTCTCTGCCTGATAGTAATGGTGCCTGGAAGTCTAGGAGACCACAGTCTTCAGCTTCTGAGTCAGAGGGCTCCTGCTCCAACTTGGGAAACATTAGAGCGGAGCCTCGGAAACAAAAATGCCCAAAGGATAGTCTTAAAGGGGATCACACCAAAAAGGTGAGAGAGAAATTGAAAGCCAAAAAAGACAAAAAACACAAGGCTCCAAAGCGGAAGCAAGCCTTTCACTGGCAGCCTCCACTGGAGTTTGGTGACGAGGAGGAGGAAGAAATGAATGGAAAGCAAGTTACCCAGGAGCCAGAAGGAAAAAAGCACATCTCTGAGAAGTGTGAAACTGTGAGAGACAGTATTCCAAAAATAGAGAAACCCTGTGATGAAGGCAGCGGTCCCAGTAACCCTAAGAAGGGTACCTCAGAGCACAACCCACTTGCGGAGGGGGATCGCCATCCCAGCTCTTGCCCTGCACCTCTGACAGTGGAGGAGAATACCACCAGCTCTCCTCCTGGCGCCCAGCACATTGAAGAGCGTGTCCCAGGTGGAGGGGAAGACGTGCTTCAGACAGATGACAACATGGAGATTTGTACCCCTGATAGGAGTTCCCCTACAAAAGGAGAGGGGGTGTCCCCATTAGCAAACCGCAAGCTGGACAGCCCAGAGGGGAGCATTATTCCAGAGCAGGTTGAGCACATGGCACAGCCCAGAGCAGGAGGGATGCAAGAAAGCATTGTGTCTGAGAGTAAAACCTCAAGTGAAGGTGGGAAACAGGACAGCTCTGCCAGTTTGGCCAGTCCTGTAGAAATTTCTGGAAAGAAGGAGAGGCCTGAGAAAAGCCAGATGAACCTCACAGATAAGTGGAAGCCATTGCAAGGTGTAGGAAATCTGATGCCTACTGCAGCCACGTCCAGTGCTCTGGATGTGAAGCCATTGGCGCCTGTTCCTGAAGTGAAACCACAAGGCTTGAGAATAGAAATCAAAAGCAAAAATAAAGTTCGGCCCGGGTCTCTCTTTGATGAAGTAAGAAAGACAGCACGCTTAAACCGGAGGCCACGGAATCAAGAGAGTTCTAGTGATGAGCAGACACCTAGTCGGGATGGTAACAGTCAGTCCAGGAGTCCACACAGATCTCGAAGTAAATCTGAAACCAAATCTCGACACAGAACAAGGTCTGTCTCCTATAGTCACTCAAGAAGTCGATCCAGGAGTTCCACGTCATCTTACCGGTAAGAAGCCCCCCTCCCTCCATGTCATTTAGCTCAGAAGAACATAAGTGTGATCACTGTTTCCAAATATCTGACAAGGGAATAAGAAGCATTATCCCATATGACCAAAACCACAGGTAGAGGACATAGATAGGGAGTGGGCATTTCAGGAGAAGAAATTTGGGCTCAGTTGAAAAGACCATTGTTACTGTTTTCTGTAGTTTATCTCTTGAACAATGAAAGCTTTGTTGACATGACCAGTGACTAGGTCTCCATATTCAAAGGTGCAAAGTAGCTGGCTTTCTTGCCCAGATTGCCGTGCTTTTGCAAAAAATCTTTTGAGCAGAATCTGCAGGACTTAAGGATTGTTGATCTAACTACCCTTTTACACATGTAGAAGATAACATGCCGTAGCTGTCCAAGGCATACATCTAAGTCAAGTTCTGTGATCATGTTCACATTTTCATCAGTTTCTTCTGGCATTTATCATCAGGATAGACTGAAGAGTACAAAGAATGAATGACAGCTAAGAAAGGAGGGATCATGGTAACAGGAAACTAATAAGCAGTTACATTCATGAGCATACAAATATACCAATTGCAGTTTTTTGTGGCTTTTATTTCATTGTTTAAGTCATGGTGGCTTCTTCTGAACTGCTTCCTTTGAAGTGCATGACTCTGTCCACTGTGCAGAATTTGTAAGAGACCGCATTCTGGTTTGACTTCCCTCCTGCCCTCCTGTTCATCCTAACTGGGAGTGCACACGTTACATGCTTTCTCACTCATTTCCGTTGTAGATCAAGGAGCTATTCCAGAAGCCGGAGCAGAGGCTGGTACAGCAGAGGCCGGACCCGCAGCCGGAGCAGTTCCTATGGAAGTTTCCGTAGCCACAGGTAAGCTGTGTTCTCGTCCTTCTGTGTGGTTCCCCCTCGTGGGACAGAGCAGGCAGCTGTAGCTCTGCTGTTGTCAAATACCACACTGATCTGTTTCTCATCTAGCTCTCTGAGCTCCGGAACTCTTTCTGACTGTTCCTTCATCAGAGTGAGGCCATGTCCCTCCTGCCTCCTCCATATGTAGATCTTATTGAGGGTCACAAGCACACTCACCTCTTGACTGACTGAGGGGTTGAAACAGGGTCACAGTGAGGGAACCAAAAGAAAAATGTGTGCTAGGACCAGGGCGCGCATTTTTACTGCCCAGCTGCTTCTCTCTCTGGCCTTGAGATATTTCCTGCTGTGGCTACTCACATAAATGGCCCCTTTCCCTTCCTATCCATCCGAGAGTCTCCCCAGAGAACTACATAAAACTTTATGAAATACAGAGGTTTTAAAAGGAAAATCCAACATACTTGTGGTAAAAACAAAAGAGTTAAAAGATTTCACTGTATTTTCACTTTGATGGGCAAAGATGTCTCAGTTGTTAATGTGCCCTGATGCACAAGGTGACAGTCCCTCCTGTGGTTCCTACTAGGACATCCAGCAGGAGCAGGTCCAGGAGCAGCTCCTATGACCCCCACAGTCGCTCCAGGTAAGTGGCAGTGGGAGGCCCCAGCATGCTTGGGGGATGGAGTTGGGGCTGGCTGGTTGTGCTTGGATTTGATCCCAGGGCCTAGGTGCAGTACACGGCATGTTTTCTGCCATTAAGCTTACCTTCTCAGCCTAATGTTGAATTTTTAAATTAAATAACTTAAACTCCTATGTTTATTGTCTGAAATATCTCTTTAAAAAGGAGATGTCTGTGGCCCATTGGGCAACAGTATCAAATTGTAATAGCAGGTGCTTGTTGCATATAATTGCCTAATGAGATCCAGAATCCCAGACAAACTAACTCAGTGTTAATTTTGTGATATTTTTCAATGCAGAAAAGAAATTAACATTTTTCTCTTTAACATGGTAAGTCCAAATGGGGGCAATTGCTAGATGTTTCTAGAACTTCTTATGCAACTGTCCTCACACTTCCATAGAGTGCCCGTGTGAGCTAGCACCCTCTGACAGCCCTAAAAAGGAGACTTTCCATATTTGAATGAGAAAATTTAATGTGTGTTATTCTGTTTAAGCAGATCCTACACTTATGATAGCTACTACAGCCGGAGTCGCAGCCACAGCCGCAGCCAGAGGAGTGACAGTTACCATCGAGGGAGAGGTTACAACAGGCGCTCCAGGTAGGTCCTGCTCTAGACCACTGCTGTGACTGTGCACTTGGTGCAGTGGACATCAGTCGATACTTCTCTTCCTGAATTTCATTGGCCTACAGACAGCTATTAAATAAGGGCTTTGGGACTAAGAGTTGCCAGTAATAGTTATTATTTTATAGTTGAAATTAAAATGGATTTTCAAGTGCTCATACACTTTTGAGCAAACTTTTTCTTTTTTTTCTCTTTCTTTCTTCTTTCTTTCTTTCTTTTTGAGTAAGGAGAAAACCAAATCATGGGTCACTTCTGAAAGTCAGGTAATATACTAGAATAGCCAGGGTTTTTTGTTTTGTTTTTGATTTTAAGAAAGGGTTTCTCTGTGTAGCCCTGTCTATCCTGGGATTAGAGGTGTGTACCACCACTGCCCAGCCAGTTTGTCATTTTATTACATTAATCATAATTATTTGTTTCAGCAGCAGGGTTGAGGTTTATATCGTATCATTTATTTAATAAGATGTAAACCTTTATAACCACTTTTGTATTGTCCCTTGCTGGTGGCTGCAGTCACCCTCCCCCACCCATTGCAACCCCAGAAACCCTTCTACAGTCAGGTGCATATGGCTTCTTTCTTGCTTGAAATGTTGAAGGGATGCCAGCTGTCTTATGCAGGTCCAAATGCCTTAGCACTCACTATGCATGAACCCCTCCACTTACCAGCTCCAATTCCTACTCCATCCTGTAATGTTCTAGAACCTTCTGCCCAGAAGCACAAGTGCCATCTCCATCATTTCCTTTTTCATGTGTCTTAAAGTGATCATGTACCCCCCCCCAACCCCTGCTTTCTAGAAGGTCTCCCCTACAACCCATTGCCCTGGGAACCCCTCACCTCCATCCCAGTGCTAACTCTGAGGCACATTTTTCCTGAACATACCTCTGGGGTTCTCAGTGCACTCACCTACCTGCCTACTGTCCTACACTGTCCTTGAGCTGCTCATTTATGGTGGGATGATGCCTGCCATGACATGCTGACCACCTCTCAGAAACCACTCCGCTAACGCACTGTGATGACCACAGCCAAACCCAAACTTCTTCAGTGAGACTGCCTTTGACCCTTCTGCTGCAGTCTAACCTAGTGTTGACATTCACCGTGGTATAATAGAAAGTAGTTTGCTCAATTTTATGAACGGATTTCAAGTAAATTTAAAAATAAAACCTCACTATTGTAGTTTATATTACCTTAGCCTTGATTTTTGCTCCATTTGCCACTTAAAACCATAGTATTGCCATAGTTAGAACCCAAAGAATAGGAGTTAAAGGTTTTTGTGTTGTTTGGCTCTGTTCCCCAGGAGCGGTAGATCCTATGGCTCAGACAGTGAAAGTGACAGGAGTTACTCTCGTCACCGGAGCCCCAGCGAGAGCAGCAGATACAGCTGAGGCGTCCTTGTACAGAGACTGTATCTTACTGTAGATACCTGGTAACTTAAAGCTGGAGAAACGGACGGCCGTCTGTTGTGCGTCAGTATTACAGCTCAAGTCCAACAGTGGTGTTTCTTGTCACTTATTTACATGTGTGCAGAAAATTTAAAAGTACAGATGTCAACTACAAGTATTTTTATGCCCCATTTTACAGTAGACAACTATGGAATTTTCATTTTCTTGAATCAAGAACTGGTGGAATTGATGTAGGTATCACTTGCAGTGTTACTTTGGATGGAGTGTTTTTGTAGCTCACAGTCCATAAAATTCAGGTCAGTGTTTTCAGGTTTTAGCATCCATGCTGCCAAACAGAATTGTGGAGCTGTCACAGCTGCACGTTCCTGTGTCCCCGTGCTGGTCATAGTCTTGTTTGTGTGTGCTGTCAAATCAGGCCATCCACATCGTATTGACTATGGCCAGTCATGCAGGGTGGTGGCTCATGCTACCATGTCTGCCTTTCCACAGAGACTGCCAGAAGCTCAGCTGTGGTCGTGTTGCTGTTGCAGCTCCCACCTCGGTGCTTGGTGCCTTTGGTTCCTCCTGTACCTTACTTCATATGCTACATGTCCTGATGCCAGAAGATAGAATCATGACTTTTTTTTTTTAATTCACTGGCACCAAAAATTACTTCTTCTGAGCTGGGCTCACTGTGAGTGTAGGGCTTCTCAACAGTTACATGTGGTGGCGGTCTCTTGGACAGAGCCTGCAAGGTTGGCCATCTTGTTTTACACCTGTGTGCTAGAAGAGCCAACTGAAGAGTGAACTTTCAGAAGCAACTCCACAGTCTTTAATTAGCACATCCAGAGACTTTAGCAACAACCAGCCTCTCCCTGTTTGTGTTGAGACCCCCACTGACTCTGTGAAGCCCTGCCTGACCAGAGAAAACCCAGGACAAGATTTGGGGGCAGAAGGATCACAAGCTGCTGCACAGAGAGATGTTCCTGTGGCTTTGCGTGGTTCCTCCAAAAATAATTTAACCTGCAAAAACTAGTTTGAGTTTGTTTCTTTGTTTTACTCTTTAGGTTGTATTCTTTCCCCAAGTGTACTTAATCACCTTAGTGCCGGTTTAATCCTGTTCACAGAAAGAATTCCTGTATATGTTGTCCATGAAGTCTATACCATCCAATCCCAGGCCTTGCTGGTGTATTTGGGAAGAAGAAGATTCCTGGCCTGATGGAGGGAGGCACTGAAGTATGAAAATGGTCTTTCAGAGCATGTGGCTCAGTGTAATAGCATGTGCTTGGCATGTAATGATGCTCTGGGTTCAGTGACCAGCACTCCAAAAATAAATCATGCTGTCACTCTTATGAGGTGGCCGACCATTGTTCAACATGCCAGTAAATATAAGTTCACCATAAAACAGAATAACATCAGCAGTCAGTGCTTGGCTAGTGAAAGTTAAACATGCCGTTTATAGTGGGATTTTTTTTCTAAAAGTTTCCTACAAAAAAGGATGTTTGAATGTACTAGTTGGTGAGAATGCATTCAGAACCCAAACAAACTGCCAAATGGAGTTAGTAAGGAAGGGTCACTGTTGAGCAATGTCGTATTGTTTTGTAGCTGTAGCTGTGTAACAAGTCCCTCAGCCTAGAACAGTGCCCGTACACTGTTGACTATCAACTGTATAGCCATGGCTAGGCATGGTGGGGCTGATTTCACTGCTCAGGGGTTCAGGACTGTGGCTGAGGGCTGGAAGGGCACATCCCTCATGAAGACTCTGAAAAGGAGTAACTTTCTTGTGGGCTCCTTTGAGGCTGCCCACATCCCTGCCCCTGGCCTTGCCATCTTCAGCCAGCAGGGATCCTTTGTCTTTCTTCAAAACTTCTGCCTTCCTCCTGTATAAAGGGTCCATATGACTAGATCAAACCAGATCAGAGATCAGTCTCCATCTGAAGTCCAATTGCCAAAGGAGTTGTGGGCATTGGCAGGTTCTGGGGGTTGGCATGGAAAGAGGCAGGGCATGCCACCTACTGCCGCCACGGACAGGGCTTAATCTATCCAGGCAGCTCTCATCTTCAGCAGTGTGGGCCTGGCTGTTTACACTCAAGTGAACTACAAAAATGGCTTTTCTTCCTAACTAGGATCATTCTGTATTTTGAAGTTATTTTTTTAATAAAATTGAATTACGTTGTGTAATGCGCTTAATAGAAAATGCTTTATTGGACAGTTTTGTAACATCCTGTTTACTGCAAATGGCATAGTTGATATTGTCAAATGTAGAAAAGACTTTTGTACATACTAGCAGTGTCTAATTTGTATATACATCGATTTAATTTCCCTACAACTCAAAAAAGATCTTGTAGAAATGAAAATACATGCTAACTTTGAGTCTGTGCCGACTGGTCTTTGCTTGCTTGGACTCCATAATCAGTTTCTGATACAGCAGGTAAAGAGACTTCTCCATGGCAGGTTTGTGGTACAGGAGTGGAGCCAGGGAAAGCCTGGCAGAAACAGGTTTCTCAGGTGGGGTGCAGCTCAATGTTCCTCTACTTAGGAGCAAGTCACCTGACTGCAGTGCCTGTCATCACTCACCTCCTGAGGGAGACCACATACAACCTCACCTCCTGAGGGAGGCAACCTGACTTCTTGTTTGCAGATAAGCTGAGTTTTCTATATAGTCTTTCCAAGTTGGAAAACAGAATTGTCACACCTGGATGCTTTCCTTTAAGATGTAAAGAACATGCCAGGGATGGTAGTCCACACCTTTCACCCCAGCATTAGAGCAGGCAGATCCGTGTGAGCTCAAGGACTGAATATAAGACTGTCCCAAAAAATACATTAAGTAAAATTTAAAATTAGCTAGGTTTGGAAGATGGAGACAGGAGGATCCATGAATTGAAGGCCAACCTAAGCTACATGAAACCCAGTTCCACACCCTCCAAAGAGATGGGGAGGATACTTGGAACTTTATTCTCATCTGGTGGACTGGACAGTACTGGGGCATTGCCGGAGGCTCTGGTCTCACCTTCTGAATTAGCCAGGCATTGGCTGTCCCCACTGTCCTGTGGGGGTGTGGAGGGTGGATGGGGCTCAGTGGTGAAGAGCATGGACTGCTTCCAGAGGATCCAGGTTCAGTTCCCAGCACCCACATAGCAGCTCAGCTGTCTGTCTGACACCCTCACATAAGCATACATGGAAGCACTACACCCATAAATTTTAATCTTAAAAAGTTGGGGCAGATCAGGTTGTCTTGACTGAGGTGGAAATTATTGGTTACTGCAGTCCCTCAGGAACTGGAGGTATGAGGGAGAGAGAGCTCAGCACCCTGGAATCCCCTGCAGACCACAGCAGACTGCATTCCTCTGAGGCCTGGGCCGCCCTGGCCATGGCTGCTTCCTCCCTGTCTCAGAACAGCTTGGTGCCACTGCTATTTTCCTCAGCACCACACCTCAGGCACGCAGTGAGACCCAACTCCACAGCCTGGACTGAGCTCTGAGGACACCAAGAAGTGGAAAGGGCCAGGCCTATGCCTGTGTCCACTGAGCCTCAGCCCTGGATCTCTGCTTCCCCACGTGACAGTGACAAGATTGGGAGAACCCCTGTCCCCAGTTGATGATCCCAGGGGTGCAAGTGTAAAGAAGTGGTGTAGCCTTTCTGCCCTGGCCTGGAGAGGCTGCCTCCTACAGGCTGTGTCCAGGGAGCACTCGCTGTAGAGGAGCCGCAGCTGTAGTGACCAGCCCTTGATGTGGCTGCTGCAGCTCCTCACTCGTTCCAGGGTTGTACAGGACTAGGGGGTCTGGCAGCTTTCTAGAAACTAGCAGGGAGGCGCTCTCTCTAAGACCCGGGAGTTGGTGTGGGAAAAGGAACCTGATGGTTTGCATTAGGCTCCCACACTGTGGCACATTAGTGCTGGGCTCGGCAGCCAGAGCTCAGGCAGATGGAGGAGGCCCCACTGTACAGGAAGGCCACTGCGGCCCTCCAGCCTGCACCACCCCAGGTACTACCTCACCTGTGTTTCCATGTTACCTGGTGCGCAAAGGGAACCCCAAGCAGTTTGGGGCTGTCTCCTTGCTCTCAGAAGTGAAGTCTGAACTCGAGTCACCCAGCTTCCGGGGGCAGTCCCATGCTGGTGAGTTCTCCAGCCCTATTCACCAGTGGAGCTTGAGGTTGTCTTGCCCCTCCAGAAGTAGAGTGCCCCTGGTCAGTCCCGTTCTCAGACCTCGCTCCAGCTGGACACCTGCACTCAACAGGAGTCTTGGCTGGCTGCACCCCACCTCCTGACCACCCAATTCTGCAACCAAGACAAGCCCAGGGTGTCCTGGATTTCTGGGTCAGAGGTCAGGCTCTGCTCTGGTACAGCTGAGGCCTGGGGTGGGGGCACAAGGCCATCACTCAAAGGGCCAGCATCCTTCCTGTGGTTAGGTTGGCCACTACACCCAGCTTCCAGCCTCCTGGCACAAGGTTCTTCTGTCTGCATGCCTAGTCTCCCTGTGGGACCCTGTCCCCGACCACCCAGTGGGTAGATAGCCTTGCCCTTCCCCCATTGCAAGTCAGTGCAGCGATCCAGAGTCAGAAGAGAAATGGTTGTTGGAAGTGACAGGCGGCATCCTGATAACTGGCCTTTCTTGCTTTAGCCTAGAACCCCGCGAGCTCAGTCAGGCATCTGTGCCTTCGTGCAAGCAGCTCGCTCTCCCAGCTACAGGGCATGTCCTGCTCAGATGGAGGAAGGGGCCTTCCTCTGTCCCCACCTGACTCAGCTTCCCGGGCTCAGGGGTAGCCAGCCCAGTGTCCTCGTGGGAGAGCCTTGCATTCTTAGGGGACTGACCCTCAGCTATTTGATGACACCTGTCTAGCTCTAAAGAAAGAACCACAGCCCCCTGCCCACCATGAGGAAGGCGTATACCCAGGGAGGTCGCGGAGAGTGGAGTGGAGAGGTCGGGCTGGTATAGGGCTGGGAGAGTGACTCGGCTCAACAGCGGCCGCTGGATAAGGGTGCGGGGCGTCCAAAGGAGAGACCACGGTGGTAGCCCGTGGTCCCGCCCTGCCTCCGCTCAGCCTGGCAGCGTTCCTTAGCAGCCTCCTGCCAGCACAGCCAGCCCCCTGCCCCCACCGAGTCGGTGCCAGAGCAGCATTCCGCAAGTCGGGCTGCATCTCCCCAGCGGAGGCTGCGCGGAGAGGCCACTCGGCCGGGCCTGGGCCTCTGGCCTCCCACCCGGCTGTCCCGGGCAGGTCATCTGAAAGGCTTTTCTCTCTGCGGCGGCGGCTCAGAGGCCTTGGGCAGCCAAAGGCCACTAGGTAGGTCGCAGAGGCGCAGAGCAAAACGCGTGGGAGGCCGAAGCAGCTGGGGACCCCAGACTCACCCCCAAGTCGGAGCAGCCGGGACCACAGGGGGGCGGGTTGTGAGCATGGCTGGGGTGCGGGGCTCAAGGGAGCAGGTGGGTAGGGGGCTGGCTCGCCCAGCTCAGTGACCTCACGCCTACCCTGGCCCCGCCCCCGTGGAGCAGCAGGAGGACACACGGGTTCGGCTCCGGGATGAACTTCCCCGCAGACAGGGTCTCAGCGAGGGAGGGTGGGGTCGCGTGGTTCAAACGCTCCCAGGTCGGCTGCCCGCCCGGCCCGGGGAACCCCGAGGCTCTCCGCGGGGCAGCCGCATCGGTACGGAGGCGAGCACGCGCCGCCATCCCCAAGCCCGGACACCACCCACCCGCGCAAGTGAACCCCGGAGCCGAACCAGTGTGTCCTCCTGCTGCTC